TTTAAGTGATTTTTAACTACTTGACCGTGATTTTTTGGAGACTGGGTTGACGCAAGTAATTTTTTATTTTGGGGGAGGGGCTCCATCCTTCACTCTTCTCCACAAAGCAAAAACAGTGATTCACTTACCGGGGCGTCCGTCCTTCGCGCCTCCTCCAGATACGCCACTGCTCGTTGGTAAGGTTATGCAAGTCATGGTATATTACTAAAACAAGCAACGGTTCATAATGATTACAACATACCGAAACACTGGTAATTAAGGTTTTAATGTTGGAGTTGGAACGCTGGATTGCCTCATTCTACAGACGTGTTTGCAAACAAGTCCACTGGCATGCGTGCGCTGCCAGACAAATGATGAGGGCTCATGATCACCAAATAGATACTTTGCAACAATTAATGTATGTAGGCCTGTAAACTTGACTTTTCATTACTGGGAACTGCAAAGAAGAAAAAGAACATTGTTTAGCGTGTTTTTCAGTACAGTATGTAGTTCAATACTGAAAATTCAGTATTGAACTACATACTGTACTGAAAAACACGCTATATTCAAATTACTGTAATTGTAATTAAAATTTTTGATACAAACAATCGTAATAATCATACTGAATAAAATACAAAAATTTATTATGTATAGGGCCTAGTCAAGAATCGTTTAAAAGACAAATTAATAAACGCAATTCTAAAACACTCATGAAAAACAGAACCCTTTAAAAATTATTTTCCAACATCATCATAAACCACTGGCATTAGTGCGTCCATCGGCGGTCCATACTGCGGCTGTTATCGCGATTCGCGACCGAAATCGCCGAAATGCATACCGCCGAAATATCTGTATTCGCTAGTAGTAGGCTAGGGTAGCCCAGCCCTCACAGTTTTTTTTTCTTAATAATTAATCAATAAGATGACAATATCTTGTGTACATTTGAAAGCAGATGCCTATATGGTATGTCTTACTCATGCTCTTTCAACAGAAAGAGAAGAAGTCATGGGACTTTGCATAGGAGAAGTAAGTATACCTCGCCTCTGTTTTGTCTGTATTGTAGGGCCTAGTAGGATAGGAATGCCTAGGCCTAGTAGTGTAGGCCTAGCCTAGGCCCCTAGACCGCATTACACGCCTATACCTAGGCTAGGCTCTCCCGTCAGGCAAATCCTGGCGCCACCCCTGGTGTCTCCATACTGTGGTGAAAAAATCCCAGGCGCTAGGCCTATGGCCTAGGCCTAATCAGCCGAGCACTATGCGCAAGCCCTTTTTCAGGTGGGGTCCACCTGCACGTGAGGGCCCCGAAAGAATTCGATCGAACTCGGCCACAAGTCAAACTCAGCCACAAGTCATCTCGGTCACAAGTCATCTCGGTCACAAGTCAACTCGGCCTCAAAATGTTCGGCTACAGTCAACTCGGCCACAATTCAACTCGGCCACAAATCCGGGCACAAATCAACTCGGCCACAAGTCAACTCGGCCACAAGTCGACTGCAGCCTATTTACTGGTACTACAATTTGAAGGAATAATTCATGAAGTATAAAATACTAATTCTTTAAAGTATTACTATAAATTATTATTATTATTGCTGTTAATATTATTGTTGTCATTGTTGTTATTATTGTTGTTTTTATTACCATTAGTTTTAATATTAATTATTATTCTTAGCATATTTGTATTGTTTAATAAATTTTTACCATATAAATAATAATTTTCGATTTTTTTATTCATATTATTATTATTCATATTATTATTATTCATATTATTCATATTATTATTATTATTATTATTATATTAGTCTTAGTATTATTATTTTAATAATTTTAAACTAGGTATTTAAATATCGTTATTATTACCAATTCGTATTATTACTATTAGTATTGTTAAAATATTATTACTAATTATATTGTTGTTATCACCTTTATTATCGTTATTATGACTAATTAGTACTTTTAAAGTGAATATTATTAACTTATTGTCGTTATTGTTTAATATTATTGTTGAAGTAGAATGTTGTGAGTAAACAGAAGACGAACACACGACGTCAGTAAGATTTTCTTTTAATAATCATTATAATTAGGCCTACTTAAGTCATTAGTTATCTATAAAAGGAGATGTTATGGGCAATGCCTAAGCTCCACTAACCATGTTGGAATGTCTATGATACGTGGATGACAATAAGTAAAATGAAAAAATTAATTAATTAAATAAAATGTATAATTGAAATTAAATATGAGAAGATGTAAAGGGGTGGGTGGCAAAAGTCTGGGAGAAATTGAAAATGACAATGGGCAAAATGTCCAAGGGAAACCAGCCTGGTCCCGATGATGACATAGGCCTAATTGATGTTGAATTGTAGCGTATTTTAATACTTGGAGTACTGTATGTATACTGTTCTGAGATTAATCAGCGGACCTGTCAGTTTTTATAAATATTCAGTGGCAATTTTTATGTCTATAGGTCTACTGCTGTATTCATTTTTACGACTATGAATATTCTTATTACTATAGTTTTCGTTGTGGGTTTTCCTTTAAATTTCATTGATAGTTTCATATACAGTATTTTGTTTTTCAAATGTTATTGTTTCAGTGTTATTAAAGTAACTGTCATTTTGGATCTAATCTAAATTATTTTTTGCAAATATCATTGCCGATTATCATTTTTGAAATTAAAAACAAAAATCCATTACCTCATTGCTATTCACATAGCCCCCCCCCCCCATTGGACGAACAAATATGGACTGAAGCGAAATGTCTGTCACTCAACAATACCAATTGTTCCTATTGTGGATAATTGATACTAGATGCTATGCGCCCCACCTAATTTTAACGTAGGCCTAATTTTTGGGCATGGTTCTAAAGAAAATAGTATCGAAATGCATGCCATCGTGCATTCATTTGATTTTAGTTGGATTCAAAATAAATTTTTAACATTTAAAAAATCATAATGTGGTTTTTCTATTTCAATTTTTTATGATTAGGTCTACAATATGTACTCATGTTTTATGTCAGTGTTTTAACGTGAAAAAAAAAATAAAACATTAATATGTGCTTTTCTTAATTATTAAGATTGCTTAAATTGTTAATGTTACATTATTGTCAGATTTTATTCCATTTTCACGACGGTGATTAGAATTTTAATAAAATATACTGTGTACTTCATTTCAACCACATTGAAGAAAAAAGATGCAAAAACTGAGTAATATTTACATTTCATTTTAATTATTTTATTCTATATATAACATGTTATATATTATAAATATTTATGGTCCTAATCGGGATGATCATAATTTTTACGATAGATTAGAAGAAATTATAGAAGAAGCCGAAAACCAGGTGGGTTCAGTAATTATATGCGGGGATTGGAATGTAGTTTGAGATTATAAAAAAGACACGTACAGGTATTTGAGAAAAAATAAAAATAATCAACAGGCTAATCAATCGGTTACAAATATCATGCAAATTCATGATTTGCATGATATTTGGCGAGAAACCCACCCCAATATAACACGTTACACGAAGCAAGCAAGATTGGGTTACATTTTAGTTTCAACGGATATTTTGTCAGCTGTTAAAAATAGTAAGTCATGGTTATCGAACTGACCACTCAGTGGTATATATAGAAATTGAAAGTGATAATTCAGAGCGTGGCAGAGGGTTTTGGAAGTTTAATAACTCATTACTGAAAGATGAAATTTATATAAAAAAGTAAAAGATTGTGTAAATGATGTTATAAATGAATACTCTCTAGCCAGTGAAAAACACTTTGATCACCAAAAAAAAAGAAAATGTTGGTTTTTCTATTGACGATGCTCTTCTATGGGGTGTTTTTAAATTTAAAATTAGGGGTATCACAATTCCATATTCGGCAAATAAGAAAAGGATGTCACAAAAACAAGAGCAAGAAATTGTGAGACAATTGAAATTTTTTGAAAATAAATTGGCAATCTCTCCAAATGATGATGATGTGTCCACCTTGAGTATTCTGAACAATGATGTGCAATTGATTAGAGAACATGCAGTTGCAGGAGCCATAATACGTTCAAAAGCTAGGTGGTGTGAATTTGATGAAAAAAAGTAATGGATTTTTTATAAATTTGGAAAAACATCATTATATAAATAAAAATATTGTTAAACTAAATACAGATCATGGAGAACTGACTAATCCTAAGGATATACTAGAAGAATTACACAATTTCTATAAAACATTATTTACACCTAACCGAACAGTAAATAGGCAAAATAACCTGAATTTTTTTTCTACAAATATTCATAAATTAATTTTAACTTCTTTACATACAAGACACTGATAAGATACGGCCCTCCAAAAAAGCCAAAATTGTTTTTCGCAGAATGCTTCAGGATATTTGCTGGAATATAACATTCTTAAAAACAAAATGCTGCCCAAGTTTGAATGATTTTTCCTGAAAAAGAGGGCCTAATATTTTCTCTAGCAATTTGCAACATACAGGAATGAAACAAGGGGCATGGTACAAACATTTTAAATAATAAAGAGTCCTAACTTAAAAACTGCTGAAATTTTGGACTCTTTCTTTTGACATATTCAGGTATTTCTTGAATTTTTTAAAGGAAAATACAAGGCCGAGGGGGGGGGGGGGTGGTCACAGGGACATGGTGGTTGATTTGAGTCGGAAGTGAACTTGTGCCGGTGCGCTAGGCCAAGAAAGTAAAAGCTTCATTACGCGACACTACACAGTTTGTTTGTTTCACGATGGATGATGACAGCAACATACAGTTTGGCAGGGGCTTAAGCTCTCCATCGGACATGACAAGCTCCCCCAATGACCAGAGCTCCTCGGGAAGTTGGACCAAAAAAACAAAAAACAAAAAAAAACTGAATAGGCCTAATAAAATGAAATGCAATGTATATTTATTGAGTTGAGTTTCAGAGTATAGTAACTTTTGAATTTTATAAAATTGACATTTAAAGTCTGAGAGTGCCATTTCCTGCCATCGAGAGGTCCTATTTTAAAAAACAAAGTTTCATTAGGGGAGAATGTCGAAAGGCGACCTTTCTTTGACTGTTCTTAACTTTCGTGATCATTATAAGTAAGCAGTTCAATTTAAAAATACAACCATTTGTGAGGAACTTTCTTTTACATCCTCTTCCGTACCATCTGGCGTTTGAGGCGACGCAAAGGATCTCCACTTATTTCTGTCTGGTGCAATTTTGAGGGCTGTCTCAAGACTCAGTCCTTTCCTCTTTAAGTCTTTCACAATGGTTCTACGCCAGGTTTCTTTTGGCTGTCCACGGTTTCTTTTCCCTTGTGGGGTCCATCGTAGTGCTGTTCTCGGTAGCGAGGCAGGTGGCATGCGACAGACATGTCCTAACCAATTCCAACGACGCATCTGTATTTGTTCTTGTATGGGCACTGTTTCTGTTTTGCTCCGGAGTTTTTCATTTGAAATGATATTTGGCCAGTAGATTCTGAGGATGTGCCGCAGGCATTTGTTTTTTAACACTTCCAGTAGCGGCAGTGGCTTTCCAGCACTCCGATCCGTTAAAAGGAGGACACTCAGAACATTGCTCTTGAAAATCCTGATCTTTGTGTGAATGCTGAGTCCAGTAGATCTTCCAGATGGACTTTAGCATAGCAAAAGCTTGGTTGGCTTTGCTGATCCTGGTGTTTACCTCTTCGTCGCAGTCGCCATCTGTCATCTTACTGCCCAGGTAGGTAAACTCCTGCACATCCTCTAGTGGTTTGCCACTCATAGTGACTGGGTTTTTAATAGTCATGGCATTTTTCCTCAGTACCTGTGTTTTCTTTTCATATAAGAGGAACAGTACATTTTTAATAAAAATTTATGCAAAATCATAGAGCATAAAAAAACAACAAATTAACATTGTAAAATAGTTTCATTTCCAGTGGAGTGCGGCGGCAGCATCCCTGCTAGGCCAATGTAAACTCTTGGGGTCTATTATTCTGAAACCAATTCTTCTCCTTTTGTTAGGTTATTCCATGTTCCCAATTTTTTTCCAATTACATGAAAAAGATAGGAGGTATTGTATATCAAGTACTTATATATCATTAACCTGATGAAACTGTTATTGTTAATTTATATATTTTAGGTTGACACAAATCGAGTTGTACACATTGTTTCAGTTATTATGTTGCGAAGGTCTGACAAATGCAAAGACAGAGTTGAGATATCACCTGAACAGCTAACCCATGCAGCATCAGAAGCTGAAATATCCTTTTATTCAGATCAAGTTTAATATATTGTCTAATACAAAGTATACTGTAAATGAACTTGGTTTTCCAATTTCATTTACCTTTTATTTGACATAATTTGTATATAGGTTTCAAGAGTAAAAAATTATGAAAAGCCATGTTAATATTAAGGTTTGCATAGTCAAGAAAAAATACTGTATCATAGTTCCAATGTGGTAAGGGCACATAAAAAATAAAAAAAAAATTATTAGATCACTCTTTAAAAAAAAAAAATAATGAGGGCAGGCATTCTTTTTTAAACATTTTTAATGAGAACAATAGAATATTGCATTTTTTAATCGATGAGGGAGGGACTGTTTTTCTTTTTGGCAAGAATATTGTAAATATTGTATAAAAACTGGTTTAACTTTATTATTTAAAAAAAAAAAATGTATTTCTAGTCACAAAATTTCATAATCTTTTTATGCTGTTGTAATAAATGATGTAGGAAAAAAAAAATTTTATTCCTGCATCAATATTTTCTAAATTGTGGACGCAAATGGAGTGATAATCTAAGGCAATTCAAAAATAGGACGCACATCTCTGCTCTTGAACATAGCGCATGTGTACAATCCTTTGATCTTTACTGTGGCATAATCCGATACTAGGTGCGAGTACAGCCATCAATAATTAGTCATGTTTCATGGTGTGTGTTATTATTTTATTAATTTTGGGTACTTTGTAATGTCTTTTACATCTTATTTCTTTTGACCACAAGCTTGTTAAATTCTTCTATAAACAGCAATTTGATTTGTGAAAATTGACCAACAAAATGAACATTAAATAAAGAGGTGGGGCGCAGTGTAAATTCATACTTTGGTGGAGCCAGTCATAGAACAACTAGTCTGAAGGAAGTAACAACCACCAAGCTGCAATCGTACTGACAGTGCTACTAAATGATTGTTGATTAAAACTTTTTACACTGGTTTTACTTTAAGGAAATAATTGAATAATAATGGTTGTTGTAATCTTGGGAAAGCTGGATAGAATGTTGCCAAATATATTCCGCTATTGACATTGTTTTTGTCAGGCAGATATTTTTTCCTAAAATTTTCATACAGATTAGCAATGGAGACAGGGAGACCTTTACGTGTTTTAGGATGGTATCATTCTCACCCTCATATTACGGTTTGGCCATCACATGTTGGTAACTAACTTCATTTTATAGTATAAGAAATACTGCTTATTAGTTTTAGTACAGTTTGCTATGTAATCCAGCTAGATTTTTGTGCCAAAATGAATTTTATTGGCTAGTTTTGTCATTTTGTGCTGAATTAAAAAAAGTTAGGTGTCATTTTTTTTATCCATGTCATCAGCCCCCAATTTGAATTTCAAGCTGGTGTCGGTGGAAAGGGAATTATACACTGATCATTTTATTCCTTTACACCTATACCTAATAATACATATTTACAGAGATATAGACCAATAAATAAAGTCACATGACCCAAAAGGTCAAAAAATGAAACTTGCCTAAATATATCGTGTTTAGTATTGTTGGAAAGCTCCTCCCGATTCTGAATAATGTTATACAATGCACATATCCGAAATGTTGTACATTTGAGTCCGCTAAGTCAAATCTAATGGGACTGGCATAAAAGGTTCAAGTTATACAGATTTTGACTTGCACATTTTTGAAAAAAAAATATTAACAAAGAACAATACTGCGTGTACTCAATGCCCACAAAATCGAATTACACGCAAATCCGAACATTTTTTTAAGTCTCAAAATCATTCCTATTCTTCCTTTAATGAAATACTTTCCGAAAACAGGAACTCCCTATTCCGAATCTCGGAAAATTTGTCCAATTCAGGACAATAACATTCATTGGAAAAACCAGACGATAGTTAAATAGACATCGTTTAACAACAATCATACCAGACGCCATGAAAATGAGATGCTTAGCTGTACTCACATTGCCTTGGAGATTATCTGTTGATTAACATGACACACCAGTAGACGTTTTCTTGGTTAATTATGAAGTGAATTTTACGCATTTCAATGTTTTATTAAGTGTATATACTTGCTTTTAATCCTTAAAATCATTTGGAATCAACCTGAAATAAAGACGGTACTCAACAAAGCAACTACTGGTTACTCTTTTCAGTAGACGTCTAATCGTCAGTTTAAATTGCAAATGCACCTCATTCATTCTTTAAACTCAGACACTTTTCAAAACATGTTGCTAATTTAATTACAGAAGAAAATTGTAGAGAATAAAATCTAATTTGTTAGGTTTATTTAGATTTGACTCTAAAATAATACCATGAGGGTTTCTTATTTGTTTTTTGTTTTGTTTTTATAAATTTATTTCATTAAAACATTCTTGATTACACCGAGCTTGTTACTGTCACGCACTATGAAACTTTGGGCGATCTGATGTCATCACAGCCGAAGCAAATGTCTGCAAAACAACCTACGAAAATAGACCAATTGGCGGGCAGGCAGAGTTTTGGGGGCGCGACCTGTTTACAACTAGACTGCCGACCAGCAAGTGGCATTGCCCAACGAAGATTGTGTGCTTGGAAAAACATATCAGACCTAAAGAAATGCACGTAAGAACAATATAAAAGTCGCATCAGTTTTATTGGTAATAATAATTAAATTTGCTGAGCAGTACAGCAAAGCAACAGGTACTCTATGTATTATGTTAAATAAAGTGTTGAATTTGTGTAAGCTAGGCCTAGGGCTAGTAAAAAAAATCCAGGGCTTTGAAAAATTAATTAAGTAAATATATATTATTAGGTATAGGTGTAATGGAATAAAATAATCAGTGTATAATTCCCTTTCCATTGACACCAACCATAACCATGTTTTATGTGGTGTGTCGGCCATCTTGAAATTTAAAATGGCGGCTGGGTAAAAAAAAATAGCACCTAACTTTTTTGAATTCAGCCAACCAAAATGACAAAGTTAACCAATGAAATCCATTTTGGCACAAAAATCTAGCTGTAGCCCAATTTCTGACATAGCAATCCATACTATTAATTAAAAAAAAATTTAAATAACAAATTTCTAATGTTTTGTAAATGAGTCTTTTTCTTGTTTTCTTTAATGGCAAAAGTGAAAGTTTAAGATTAAATTTATTTACAAAATTGTTTGGTCATTGGGTCCACATGCTTAAGTGAGAAGCAACGAAGATGAAGTGAGGACAAGTGAAATGCACAGTGAGGGATTGAATACCCCAACCTCAAGGGTAGGAAACACTGTGAAGACACTTCCAATGAGAGTAATATAACCTGTAGAGAGGTTCATAAAAAAATACAGTACATTAAAATATGAATTGGAAATACAGAAATACAAGCATGGATATTGTTAAATTTACAATTTTCAATCAAACTAATCCTTTTTTTTTAAGTTGGTTAAATGCTTGCCTTTCTTTTTCTCTTTTCTTTCTTTTACTGTTCTTTACAGTAAGCTGCTTAAAGGGCATTTTCAGTACAGAGTAGGCTTACTGTTTTTCAGTAGGGCCCAGCATAACATTCAGATACAAAGTCATGGCTTGAAAATTACTTTTTAGTGGTTTATTGTTTATTGCCACTTAGATTAAAAATTTGTTGTTTATTGTACATTTTTTAAAAATATATGAATGAAATTTGAAAACAATGTTTCTATTCACAACTATTCATAGATGTGCAAACCCAAGCTATGTATCAGATGATGGATGAGGGATTTGTTGGGCTCATCTTCTCTTGTTTTCATGATGACAAAACCACCAATCAGGGTCATGTGACAGTCACTTGCTTTCAGTCAACCAATCAAAGTCCTGAAGGGGAACCTCCAATGTAAGTAGCAATCAGATAATAACATTGTAATTGGGGGTTTTTTTTAAGTGAGAAGAATTTGAATAAATTAAATTAAAATGTAGAGAAAAATTGTGTGAAGGAGAAAGACTTAACCCTCTGGATACCGGATTCTTTTATAGCGCAAACCCTTGAATACCGGATTCTTTTGCAGCTGTCTCTTATACACATCTAGATGTGTATAAGAGACAGGGAAAAACCAGACGATAGTTAAATAGACATC